TGGCAGCAGCATTCCGCATTTTCGGCAAGAATGGCTACGATGAAGGTATGCCATCATCACTCATCCCTACTACTTACATCCGAATAACCTCGGCTCGAGGGGATTGGCAGTTCATACTAACTTTTATTCCAGGCGTGGCAGGACACATTACACTCCGTGATCCCGTCGACCCAACCACCTTCTGGGTGAACCCCTTTGGCCTAGCATTTTCACAGATCAAGGCATCCGACTTGATTCATGTGAGCCACGCTGGGGAAATCATTGGCGGCGGACCCGTTCGGCTGCTCAATGCTGCTGCTTTTATGATTCACTCGGCCATTCATGCTGCTCGTCCGGACGTGCTCTGCGCTGCGCACAGCCACAGCATTCATGGACGGGCTTTTTGTACTCTCGGACGGCCGCTGGATATCATCACGCAGGATGCGTGTGCATTTTACAATGTCAGTGGTACCCTCTAGTTACAGAAACCTTCAACTAACTAGAGCAGGATATCGTCTTGTACAATCAGTTCAACGGCATCGTGCTGGCCGAAGAAGAGGGCAAGAGCATTGCTCAAGCCCTAGGCACCAAGAAAGCCGCACTGCTGCAGAACCACGGCCTTCTAACAGTAGGACAGTCCATCGAAGAAACCGTATTCTGGTTCGTCAGTCTGGAGAAGTGCTGCTACGTGCAGCTCATGGCCGACGCCGCAGCTGCAGGCCGGGGCGGACAGACCGTCAAGGTAGACGAAGCCGATGCAGCATTCACATACAAGTCCGTCGGCACGCCAAAGGCAGGGTATTTCAGCGCGAAGCCCATGTTCGATTTGATCCACGAGGAAACCGGAGGAAGCTATCTGAACTAGCAGCTACACCTCATACCATAAATATCATACTTACACAAATCCAAGACTACTCACTCACTCCCCGTCCTCTCCCACACCTCCCTAACCTCCCTCCCATTAACAGCCGTAAGCGGCTCCCCTACGACCTCCCCATCATCCCCAATCACCTTCAAAATATTCTCCATGGCCAACCTCTCAAACCCAATCCTAGTCTCCACTGCCCCGCCCCCAACATGCGTCGTAAGGGTAACATTCTGCATCCCCCTCAGCCTAGCATCAACAACGGGCTCAAACTCATGAACATCTAACGCCGCAGCAGCCACCTTCCCAGACCTCAACCCCTCCACCAAATCCTCCTCAACCACCACACCCCCCCTCGCCACATTAATAATCCTTACCCCATGCTTCATCCACCCAATCTTCTCCCTATCAATCAACCCCCTCGTCTCCTCATTCAACGGACAATGCACCGACACACAATCCGCCTCCTCCAACACCCCCCTCACCCCACCCCCCCATCTCACCCCTAACTCCCTCTCCCTCCTCTCGTCCACCCTCACCGCATCATAATAAACCACCTCCATCCCCAACGCCCCCCTCACCTTCCTCACCACCTCACTCCCTATCCTCCCCAGCCCAATAAGTCCCAATACCTTCCCCCTGGGGTTCATCGACATGTCCGCCAAGTTCTTATGACAATCCATGAACTTCTCCACATCCCCGGACCTCGCGGCAATCTGCGACGCAGTAAAGTTCCGGAATACGCTCAGGATCATGTACAGCGTTGTGTCGGCGACGGCTTCGTCGGACGCGCCGGCCCCGTTCGTATAGTAGATTCCGCGCGCCGTGAGGGATGGGATGTGAACGTCGTTGTAGCCTGCGCCGGCGGAGGCGAAGATCTTTACGCTCGGTGGGAGGAGAGAGATTAGTTCGGTGTCCCATGGGGACATGGTTTTGCCGGAGGAGAAATGCGGGCGGAGGAGGGCGGTGATGGGGCCGTATCTGGATTGTTTATTAATGTATGTCTTTGGTAGGCGGGGGGAAGAAGGGAGGGGGGTTATATACTTGTTGGTTTTCAAGGCCTCGATAAAAGCTTCTCGAGTCGGGGAGGTGTCGCGGATGATGGTGAAGCGGGTGGAGAGGGGCCCGTTGTAGAGGTCGTGGTTGTAGGCGATGGGATCGCCGAGGTGGAGAATTATTGGCTTGGGCATGTTGTATTTCGTGGTGGTTGTGTATGATGGTGGAGATATGATGTATTGGTAGAGGAACTGAAAAGATGAGATTTGGAATTGCAACATTATGTATAGTAGTTGTGAAGATATAGTCCTGCGGATAATTCTCCGATTCGACTCGGACTTGTTTCCTAGATGATGATCAATCAGCGTTGAGGAGGGTGTTTACCCCGACTTGTTTCTTGTTTCTTTTAGTGGAGAGTGGAGGTCCAGTGCTCGGGCTTAAGTTGTGTACATCTGGTTTTATATGGGCAGGTTTAAGTCTGTCCCAGCTAGCTGGGATAGGTTTTATGCTCTTTCTTCTACTCTCCCTATACTTTCGTATAAAAGGTTGTCAATATCCCAGGTCTCCTTATTACTAACACATTGATACTACTGATGCCATATGAATTGGATTGTGGCTGCATATTATGCTGCTCGATAGCACTCTGCTCACAGTTCTCGCCGTGTAGTTAAATGCAGTGTGATGGGGCTTGCCCGTCTGCTATTTGGTGGGACAGCTTTTAGATGCAGGAGCTTTTTCTGAGTTAGCTTGGAAGAAAAAGATGGCATATGAAGATAATGCAGTATCACATACTAGGCTGCTAGCTTTATAACAGCCAGGGCCATTAGAGGGCGTTCTTCTTCTCAGGGGTGAACTCGAGCTTCGCCGACTAATGGGACATATATTGCAATGAAGAGTCATGAACCCTGTTCTGGTAACCAACAACTCCCAACCTCTGGGTTGGTCGCAGTTTATTGGGATCATTGCGATAATGACGCCTTTGGATGAGACTCTGTGGGTTGTCCGGTTCTGTTACTTACCACTGAGACCTTCCTGAAGTGAACGGAACACCATGCTTCTGATGCTAAGGAACTCAATTGACATGCAAGACGTTCAATACCTTCTTGTTCCGCCAAATGTAGCTAGTTCTGCCGATGATTCAAGACAGCGATGGTCGAAGAGAACCAACTCGACAAGGTCCTCTGGTCTCTGCAAAGGGCCATCAGTGGCCATTTCATACTTGCAATGTAGATACCGATGATAATTGCTCGTATCAGCTGGCAGGATTCCCTCTTCAGCTACATGGTAGACTGATGTCGTGGTTCCCACTGTGTGAGATAGAGAAGGTTAGCATGGGGCTCATGTGTATCAGTCAAGCAGCTCGACCGAGATACCCGTAGGGGTGTATCATCGCAGTAATCAGTCAATTCACACAGACTGTAGACAGAAGTTTCAATGACAATAGGTATCAGAGTCAAGTACAAATTCCATGGGCGGCAGGGCTATATTACTAGGGCGAGGTTATGATTAGACGAGCATTCTCGAGGACAGCACATTACTCGTTCATCGGCATTGTGATCATGAAGCAGATAGGTATTAGGGAATGAAGAAGCAAGTAACCAGCGGAGCGATGCAATAATCTGGATGAAACAAAAGTGCGACCGCTGCTATGGCTGCTGGTATTCAGCAACTGGGGGACCCGGAAGCGGGAAGACCGAGGATACAAAAAAGCAAAAACAAAAAAGAATGACCTACGCAGGATTCGAACCTGCAATCTCTTGATCCGTAGTCAAGCGCCTTACCATTGGGCCAGCAGGCCTTGTTGTTGTATTTCTCCGTACAAATTAATTATATACCCCTTTGTGATCCTGCGACTGCGTTATGTTTGTGTTCATGATCCTTGTGAAACACAACAAGATTCATCGGTCGGAACTGCAACTATCGGATTATTTGTCTGCTACTGCCTCTTCTCGGCTTGACATAGGCTACCTTTATCATTTGTGAGCAATCACTACCCCAGAAACTCATCCCATCACGGTAGTCCTCAGCACAAGTGATCAACCTCAAGCAATATATACCCCGTGAAGCCAACCCGCAACACCCCCCCATATTCACCACCACCCAATATCCAAAGAGTGGCAGCCAACCTGCAACAAAATTAGGTAGATACCGGCCCCTCCCCCCCTAGCCGAACTCCACCTGAAGTACCCACGAAGTACCTCTGCAGTACCGACATAGCCACTTGGACCAGACCAGACCAGACCAGATCAGACCAGACCAGTCAAGGCAACAGTCCAGCTCAGCTCAACTTCAGCATTCCATGGGCGGTTGGGTTGCGGGGGTGCCAAGGATCCGGGGGATGATCATGCAACAACAACAACTAACCTTTCACAGCCCATTCATTCCCACCACTTCTGACTGGTCAAAGTCGGGCGGGGTAAGACGAAGTCTAGTACTACTGCATAGCCAGAACAAAGCCACCGCTGCTTTTCCCATCCAATGATCGGGTGACCCAACCCCTCCCTCCATGACTGCACGGTTGTTGTTCTGTCCTCACGGATGTCATCCCTAGTTTTGAAGTTTACTAGTTAGTCACTTGTTAACCGGATGGGGTCGGAGGATGGCGACGAAAGGGAAACTTTAATAAATTGGTGGGAATCTGGGGTAACTTGTTGTGGCCCACTTTTGCCATGACGGGTGACGGGTACTACGTACTAGGTACCCATGGAGGTGAAGAGTGGGTGCTTAAGCTCTTGTGGGGGGAGTAAGTCTGTGGGATATACTAGATGTTATGGTTGATAAAGGGATAGTTAAGTATGAATTTTTTTTTCGATGAAGAGACTCAACTTCACAAAGTAGGGGATGGTTAGATGAATGTGATCAGACCACCACCGCACACAGAATGTACTTCAGAGGTAGTACTGTGGTATGAGGACAGCCGCTGACGCAGCGTGGTGTGATCCAATGGGTTTGATGTAGATTACTCTTACTTTACTGTGCTGTGCTACTACCTAACTATCCCTGTCGCGTGTGCTGCATTATTGTGCAGCTGGTATTAATACACGGCAGACAGGCAGCCAGAGACACACCACAGAAGGAGAGAGGGGATGATCACACGAGTGACAACCCTAGTCAACAGGTAATAAACTAAGGAAAAGACACAACGGGGATTTAAAAAATGTCTGCCCCTCACTAATGATGCATCAAGTTATTGTATTTGTTTCTTGTATTTATGGTCATTCCTTGGTGTGTTTGTAATAGTGTCTTGGTTAAATACATGATGAATATTGGTCCAAATGCAACCCAAAACGCGTAAAACTCCGTCATGTCATGATTCCATTCCCTCCTTGTTGCATATTCCATCCCGTGCCGTCCAAAGTACCTGACCCTAGAGGGTAACCCAAACAAGATAGAAAAGAATAAAAAAATGGAAAATGATGTGAAATGAATGGTCGGTAATAATGAGGATGTAGATCGCTGTCTCGGACAAAGTCCCCTCCTCTATTCCAGTTTCGTGGCTTTCAAAGCACCAATAGCGGTAACCAGACACGCTCGCTCACTCGCTCGCGGAGGAGGTGGATTTATTTCAAACGACGCATGTAGCGTAGCGTCAGATAAACCGCGCCCATCGTTGTGTAGGCTGCGCCCCCTGCAGCAATCCAGACCGGCTTGTGGACGCTAAACGAGGTCGAGATGAGCTGTGCCCTCCTCCTGCGCTTCTCTAAACGGGCTATTAGGATGCCTTCCTTCTTACCATAACGTTGGTGCTATGAGGGAAAACCTGCCTGTAGTCAAGAATCTGTTTCTCAAAGTGGCCAGTTGCTGTCTAGAGTATGCACCGACAGTAGAGCCCATAGACGAGAGACCTTGGATAGCAGGGGTCGACATCGTGAATAGTCGCTATTCTTGTAGTAGTTTCTTGATAATGGAAGAGTAGTTACAGCAGAGACGATGAGAGAACGAGATTTCTTGATCCTGATATTGATGAGAACAACAGGCGAGTTGGAAGGGTATTGCCCTCTATTGTCGGGCTGGGTGACACAAGGTTTATATGCTCTTCCTCGTAACCCGGATGCGGGGTAGTCACCAGATGAGAGAAGCTGCAATACAGTAACAGCTGGCTCGACCTCTCGTCATCCCTGTCTTTGTTGATCCGCGTCTCGTAGGTTACATTCTGGAGGGTGGTGATTGGAGGTCATCGTTGGGCCTATCCGGTGTTGGCGCTCTCTCGCCCCTGGAACGGGCGTGAGCTATCACCAAGTACGGTATGCAATACCGACCAAGCGATCGAGTACATCACAGGTACATCTGCCGCTGACTGGGCGCTTTTCGTTGTGATAGGATGTTCTTCACATGGGCTGGGATGAGAGTGGCGTTGTCAGTAATTAGGGTCTCGCTGCAGCCCAAGCAGAAGTACCGTGAAGAACTGTGTTGTAGCTCTACAGATCCGTCTATTCCAAGTAGGGACTTAGATGATTGCTGACTTGTACTGAGAAAGGAAACTATAATCGTCTGATTGAGTTCAATATATGACACCCACATGGAATCCGTAGACACCGGTAGATAGACTTGCCGGTTTCATGAGAGGCGTTGAGTACCATGAACAGAGTCAGGCCGTAAGTTTGACCATGCCATGGCAGCAATGCTTGCATCTTGCCTACGGTAGGGTGTGTTTCCCCGCGATAAATGCAGACATATTGACGAGCACCGCGCGTGCAAATGGCCTGATGCGAGAAGCTCCCAGTGTAGATTCCTTCCTCGTATGTAGATGTACCAAGCACACGACGATCACTTGGGATGGGGCCATGTATCGAAACTGCTCCGGCGAAATTGACAGCATGCGAGTGGTGAATTTACTTCATTCCAGCTCCTTCCCCGCAACTGCAAAGCCATTGCACGCTGACGTCTTCACTTATGCAAGGGTGGGATGAAAGTCTCAGGTGTAATTAATGCCGCCACTCGACTGCATGATGCTTAGTAGAGAGCTCTCAGCTAGGTCTCCTTGGATTCATTGGGAGAACGGCTGAAATTTGCTCCCACAGAAAAGGCTTATCCATGTGTCGATATGTCTAAGTACTGCAAATTTAGGGAGCCCTTGAAACTTGCGACTCGACAGGAGTGTGTGTTTCTAGCAATCTTAGTAGGCAACTTTAATTTGTCACATGTGTATCCTCATAGTCTTTTCCTCTCACACATTTTCATGAGATATTGCTCATCTGTAATACACATGATGTATGCGACAGAAGCGTATGGAAGTATCCATAGCGTAAAGGGAGACTGAACCACACTTTGCTAAGAGATACAGTGAGCAAACCTGCATGACTGGCAACGACGAGACAGGTCTTGAAGGAGAGTCTGAACAGTCTCATACTGATAGTTAGTAAAGCTTTGCGCTCGAATACCAGTGATAGGACTCAGAACCCTGGATTGGTTCCAGATGCAGTGATCTTTCCAACCTCTGCCATCGCTTCTCGGTTGAAAATAAAGGCTTTCTCGGTATGTCATGATAATTCCTGCATTGAGTACAGCTTTCTCTGTGAAAAGGACAAGCCAACGCCTATCAGGCAACTTCAATGCTTGATGTCCGAATGTCAAATCCATCATACACCAATGCCGCGATAAGATAGCCTTCACGTGACCGCAATCTGTTTCAAACAAAGTTTGGCCGACCGTCAGTCCTCACTTCTCGCACACCATGGCTGCCCCGCCAAATGTGAGAACTTACACCAAAATAACAGGCACCCCCGACTATGATGATCCGACCTTCTGGGATACGAAGTTTGCCACTGGTCGGGATGTCGGGGAGTGGCTGAATTCGGGAGAAATGCTCATCGATGCGGTAGTATCTCACCTGGAGAGCCGCTCGGCAACGAACCCAAGAGTGCTCCATCTGGGGCCAGGCATCTCGAAGCTGGGAGTTAAACTTTGCGATGAATTCATTAAGCGCAATTGGGCCGGAAATGGCATCGTGGTGCGTGCTTGACGTGATGGCGCATTGAGCCATTGGAACATGACTTACTCATCTTTGCGATAGAACGTGGACTTTTCCGCCGAAGCCGTTCGCCTTGGGCAAGAGACCGAGAGCAAAAGGGATCCATCACATGCGATGGGCTGGGTGCAAGCTAACTTGCGGTCCTGGGCTGATGTCTCTAGGTTAGCTCTTTCCTCGCCCTTCGACGTCATTCTCGACAAAAGCACCAGCGATGCGATTGCAACATCTACGCCCGTTACCTTCCCTTTACCCTCCGACGCATTGAGTACATGCCCGACGGTACAAGAGATTGTGGATAAACATGGAGCGTTAGAGTTGTCTCCTGTGGAGCTATTGGGTCTACACCTCGCACCCCTCGTGCAGAAAGGGGCCCTCTGGGTCACTCTATCCTACTCTACCATGCGCTTCGATAATTTGTCTCATATGGCCCAATACTGGACTGTCGTTTCCCGGACGCCTTTCAAAGCACCCCAAGGAGAGACTTCATCATTTGCTTACGCGCCTGAGGTTTTCCACTGGATGTATATCCTCCAACGGAAGTGAGATCCTCCCCACACCATATGATTTGCGACTATAAATAGCCCGGATTACTGGATAGTGGCACAATAGCCACCGACAATGGAATCAGTTACCTACCACACGGAGCCATCGATAACGCCAGTGCGTGCCCGGATGATACTGGACGCGAAGGGGTCCTGGTATTCACAGTAAGTCAGGCGTTCACCGCTGAGATCCTTTATGTCACCTTTAGGCGATTCGTAGTAGACAAGATTCCGTAAAAGCCGAAACTCGGGGCTTTTTTGGGCAACAGTTGCCCAATTAATAGTAGCACTTTGCATAGTTCTCGAGCAACCCATGATGACGGCAACCTATAGTATGTATTGCGCCTAACTTATGGACTCCTAGAAAATAGTATGGCTTGAGCCTAAGTAGATTTGAAGAATACAACGAGGCTTTATAAACAAGGGATGTGGCAGGGTGATTTTGACTTGGTAAAGACTATTGCGACTGGTAAATGCTATCATGTGAGCCGGGACAAACGTAGCAAACAATTTTGCGTTCAATTGCCCAAAGCCATACATTTGATCATCGTCGAAAGTTGCTGTTCCAAATCTCAATTTGCTCGAGCCAACTCTTCCTTCTCAGCAGGATCAAGCAGTCCCAGAGCTTCCCTTCTAGTCGGAGCCTTGGGATCAAAGAATGGCTTCTCCGCAAGCGCCGTGACTCTGGTACCGTGTCTAGGCTCGGAACCTTCATAGTCCCAGCTGGCATTGTGGATGGTAATACTATTATATGTCAGAACCTCTCGAGAGCTCATAAGATGCAAGTTACTGACCGGTTGTCCCATAGTGCGCTTGTCCCAGGGCTCCATTTGAAGCGAACCTGGATGTCAATGTTCTTCTCATATACATCGCACAAATACCCCAAGATAACATCACTTTCCGCCTTGTCGAGACCAACAATGCGGTCGGTCATGGCTCGGTTCACCCATAGCGCTTTCCAACCCGTGGCAGGGTGAACGCGGACAAGGGGATGCTCACGCTCGACGTATTTCGGGCCTTCTTCTGGGTGGGCGCGATCAAGATACGGGTGGCTGGATCGGTAGATAGCTGTTTTACCATCGATCATCTTACGAAACGCAGGCGACAGCTTCTCATAGGCCGCGTAACCACTCGCCCAGAGTGTGTCTCCGCCGATGCTGGGAATGGTGTCATTATGCAAATGTGTTACACCTGCAGGCTGACGTTCATGTACGAGATCAGTGTGCCAACGTGAGGCTCCTCCAGGGCGACGGAAGTTAGCAGGAATCTCCGTTGCCTGCAGAGCTGGCCAGATGACTGTCACTCCGGCGACGCCAGGTACTTGGGGGACTTGTGGCTGGATAAGGTCGAAACTCTGTCAGTCCGCTGGATACTGACATGCAGAAACATAGTGGGCTTACATGGACCTCGATCTCGCCAAACCATTCGCCAAGCTCTTTCTGCTGCTGGGGAGAGATATCCTGATCCCTGAAGAAGACCACGCTGCGTTCAGCGATCAACAAGCCCAGCTCATCCTTCTGCTGGTCCGTCAGGTCTTTCAACTGCAGTCCAACGATCTCCGTGCCAATGTGTCGGGTCAAATGAATGACCTCTTTTGCTGCAGACAAGAGTGCCTTCTTTTCTGGGTCCGCGCGGGTGCCTGGGTCCACATGGGCCCGGTCATGATCGCGGATCTTGTAGACGTCGTCTAGGTACAAGGGACGAGACGGCCTGTAGGGATATCCCTCAGAGAGGTTTATTCCCGCCTTCTCGAGGCGCTTTCGTGATGCTGGTGGAAGCGGAAGCGTTTGCTTCAGAGGTTCCGCAACATCGACTATTCTGGGGTCAATAGGAGCAGGAGCCATGATGATCCAATTGAACTATGAACTCTGATTATAATGTCTTGTCTTATCCGGTTCTACAGCGCTCTATGGTGGTATTTCTATGCAGAGCTTATTGCATACCAAGATTATTTCCCCTCACCATCATTGTCGTGGTACGGGATCCGATCACATCATCACCACCCATCATTGCGCCTTCTGCATCCCACCACAAAGATATTGGCAGATTGAACGGCTGTCGCGGCATCTCTCGCCTGTACCCCTCTTTTCTGCTGAGTATGCTCTTGTCGATGATTTCTTATCTCCGCTTATCCCAGTGGACAAGCGTGGCCATCCATTAACGGGGTCCCCCCGGAGAGCATCATCCAGGGATTCGATGGCCTCATCCCCTCTTCATAATTATTGATAAGCAACTGACGTACCACACGCTGCTGCAGGTTCCTCCTGGCTTGGAACTAGGTTATCGCTAGGAGCTCGGTTCGAGCTGTCTCAGATATGACAGGCTGTGGCTAGTCCTCAACTGGTAGCGTTGCTATTACACCACACTTGACTAACATAACGATATCGTCTGGCTCCATATTCCTTCGCAATTCATTAGGAACATATCAGACGGCTCGATCTCACTAGATGTCTCTTATGGCATACCATTGTGTTGTGAGTGGGACAGTATAACCAACAACCACCATGACTCGTGAAATCCAGCAAGTGGCCGTGATCGGTGCTGGCATTAGCGGTGTTGTCTCCGCGGCCCACCTTCTTGCGCACGGGATCGACGTCACTGTCTTTGAACGGAATCATGCAGCAGGTGGCGTTTGGTAATCCCTCCTCGTTCAGTGGTGTGTCGAGCATCCGGGAACTAACGACTCCATCAGGCTTCACGATGAAAGAAAACCACTGGAACCGAATTACCCCGCCATGAAGCCATCTATCTCAGAGAGGCATCGAGACGAGGACCGCAGACATGCTGATGCATTGTCATTAGAGCACGCTCCACCAGGGTGCGTATCTTGATCTGCTTCCCGTACGATCGCTTACACTATCAGGCCATGCTATGATGGACTCAAGAACAATGTGGCCACATCGCTGATGCGGGTTAAACTCAATGCCTGGCCAGAAGGAACGCCAGAGTTTGTCAGCCATACGGTGATGAAGGAGTACATCCAGGACACATCGAAGAAGGCTGGTGCTGAAAGCGTTACGTTATACGGCGCTCGAGTGACCAGGCTGCGCAAGGTGGATCGCAAGTGGGACGTTACGTGGTCGACATTGAAGGAAACCACGCAATCAGGAATGTTAGAGGAACAGGAGGAGACTGCTGTAAGTTATACCATTCCAGGAGGAAGAAACTACTAATATCCTCCTCAATAGAAATTCGATGCTGTAATAGTCGCTTCCGGCCACTATCATGCGCCTCGCGTTCCAGATACCCCTGGGTTGTCCAAGGCGAAAGCACAGTGGCCGTCGCGTATAAATCACTCGAAGGGGTACAGAAACCCAAAACCTTACGCGGACAAGGTGCGCAACTTCTTTCGTCCCCGTGTTCGGCAATAAACAACTAATCACTATGTTAAGAATGTCTTGCTTATTGGAGGCGGGGTGTCCTCTACGGATCTTGCTCGAGAAATCGGTCCATTGGCCAAAAAAGTCTACCAAAGCACACGGAACGGTGAATTCGATATCTCATCCAGTGTGCTTCCAGAAAATGGCACAAGAATCAGCGAGATAGAACGATTCGAAATCGAGGCAAAGACTGCTGCAGATGACGAGGCTTTGCCGATCAAGGTACACCTGAAATCAGGACAGACGCTCTGTGGAATCGATGCGATCATCATCTGTACCGGATATCATATCACGTTGCCTTTTCTGTCGGAATATCACGACGATGCGACACCAGCGGAGCAAGCGAGTGATACGGTCTTAGTGACTGACGGGACGCAGGTGCATAACCTGCACAAAGACATCTTCTACATCCCAGATCCAACCCTGGCATTTGTGGGAGTCCCTTACTACACAGCGACGTTTACGCTGTTCGAATTCCAAGCGATAGCTGTAGCGAATGCTTTCGCCGGAATTGCAGAGCTACCAGCGGAGAGCGAAATGAAAGACGAATACGCCCGTAGAATTAAGGAGAAGGGCAGTGGCAAGCGCTTCCACTCGTTGAAGGACATTGAAGAATTCTACGTGATTGACCTGCTGGAGTGGATTAACGGATACAGAGCCAAGTATGGACTCACTGCGATCGAAGCCCATTCTGACAATTGGCATCTGGCAAAAGCCGCGCAGAGGGAGAGAACCAATAAGCTGCTGGGGCTTGGCCGGAGACGAGACAGTGGCATCGGGGAGCTTCCGGTGTTGGAGGTATGCAGCTAGACAAGCTATAGAACAGAGTTCGCATTTTAGTGTAGATGACACAATTAGACGCAGACATTGCTACTACTTTAGAGCACCAAATACAAGCTTATCAGGCGAGATCGGCATTCCCATGAAGGCTGTAGTCATTTTAACCGGCCGGCATCGCACGCCTATGCACAGGGCACATCATCCGAGATCTGGATGACGAGCTCCGGAGGATGGATGAGCAACCACTCATCCTTCGCGGACTCGACATGCTTTACTATCCCCGCACATCGGCAGACACGCTCGTTATCTTTCTTTCTCATCATTACATCTGACAGGATAAACCCCCGCAGATATTGCGTGAATGTGGTGGATGATGATGCATTGGTCTGTGCCGTCCTGCGCCCATCAGATATGGCATCCAGACCATCTCATCAAGCCTTGCTATCAAGCTTAAAACAGGGATAAATATGTGCGACTATCATGTGAAACAATATGTCGTGCAGCGGACTGTCAAAAATTCCCTGTACTCTCTGTGTCCCCCCGTCTCCTCTGCCGGTCTTCGTGAACCCAGATCAAGACCGTAATTATCATGGCTCCATCGCCAGCTACGGTTGAAGAAAGGGCTGTTGACACATCCAGTGGCATTGTCCAAGCAAAGCCTAAACGAAGATGGGTTAGCTACATCTGGGATACTTTCGACAAGTCTCCTGAGGAGCGTAGACTGCTCTTTAAGCTGGATTCAGCTATCTTGACTTTTGCGTCGCTTGGTAGGTGGCAGTCTCTTGACGTCTGCAATATGTAAGAAATGCGCTAATACTGTGGAAAAGGTTACTTTATCAAGTATCTCGACCAAGTCAACATCAACAATGCCTTCGTTTCCGGAATGTTCGTATCACACAACTCAACCAAATGGTCATGGTCAACCCCCACTGACAAAATTACAGGAAGGAAGACCTTGGTCTATACGGCAACCAGCTCAACTACATGCAAGCATGTTGGACAGTGGGCTATGTAATTGGTGAAATTCCAAGTAACATGCTTTTGACACGCATACGGCCTAGATATTGGATTCCGGCGATGGAGGTATGGTTGTCCATTGACATAAGGGAAATATGCTGACAATGTCTAGTTGCTATGGACCGTACTTACATTTGTTCTGTCGCGGAGTACCAATGCGACGCATTTTTATGTTTTGCGCTTCTTCATCGGTACAGTTTCATCTTCTTTGTTTTTATCTCTGACTAACGCAATCAGGCCTTGCCGAGAGCAGTTTCTACCCTGGAATGCAGTACATCATCGGATCGTGGTATCGCAAAGACGAGCTCGCAAAGCGATCATGTATCTTCCACACCAGCAGTGGAATTGCGAGTATGTTCTCTGGGTACCTAATGGACGCCGTGTTCCATCTCGGCGGACGGGGAGGGATGAAGGGCTGGCAATGGTATGTTCAATTCGCTCCGACTAGTCTCAATCAATTAACAAGACAGGCTCTTCTTGATCGACGGAATCATCTCAATTCCAGTAGCCATCAGCGGCTTCTTCATCTTGCCGGACGTCCCCGAAATTTCAAGTCCGTTTTATCTGAGCGAGCAGGAAGTCAAGCTAGCGCAGAAACGGATGCAACTCGAAGGACGAAAGGACAGAGAACCGTACACGAAATCCAAACTGAAAAAGATCTTTTCATCGTGGCATATCTACTTGCTCACAATCGTATACATGTGTGTTGGCAATTCCTCGTCTCGATGAGATTGACAAGCTAATGGTAGCCTAGAACGTTTAACAACGGAGCAGCAGGCAGTCAGCCCGTCTTTCAACAGTGCGTCACTCCCCTGAGTTCCCTGGGCTATGACTAAAGCTATCTTCGCAGATATCTCAAAGACTCCACCAACCCCGTATACTCCGTCAGCCAAATCAACGCCTACCCAACCACCACAAACGCTGTGCAGGTCATCACGACCCTCATCTACGCATGTACGCACCCTCCACAGATAACCCACCCAAGAAACCGCTAATAATAATATCACCAGGGACATCCGACACAATTCTCCAAGGCCGACGCTGGCCCTGCATAATCATCGGAGCTGTACGCCCCCTCCCCCACCACCTCCCCTATCACACATCCCATTCACCACTAACACCAAAAAACCCAGTGCATAAACATAATCTGCTACGTCTCCCTAGCAGTCTGGAACATCCCCACAGGCTGGAGATGGACCTGCTACATTCTCTCCGGCGCAGGCTACGGCCTGAGCGGACTATGCATGGCGTACGCTACATCCATCCCTATCGCCCACATAAACCCCCACTAACCCGACGATATGTAATATAAAGATGGGCCCACGAAATCTGCACCGATGACAACGAAGAGCGCGCGCTCGTAGTCGGCAGCATGAACGAAATGGCATACGTTTTCCAAGCATGGTTACCGCTGGTGGTGTGGCAGCAGGTGGATGCCCCACAGTACCGGAAGGGGTTTATTACGGTGACGATTATGTCTGTTATCTTGATTATTTCGACGGTGGTGACGTGGAGGTTGCAGGTTTGGGAGGGGAAGAGGTACGTTTATCTTCATGTTCTTTTATATAGTGGTGTGTGGTTGGATGGTTTGCTAATGAGATGTTTCTGTAGGCCGAAAATTGTCCAGGCTGAGGGGGTGGATGGTGGTGGGAGAATTGAGAGTGATCTTGGGTCTGACGGGGATGATACTAGTCGTGATGATGGGCGTGTGGAAGGGGTAGATGGGGGCCTGGTGCGGAAGGTTTAGTAGTATTTCACTTCAGTTACTTACATTTTGAAGTTGGGGTTACTGCTAGTAGTACTACTACTACTAAGGAGTACTATATATAGTTCGGGATAGAGGCAGGGTACGTGTTCTAGTGTGTTGCGAGGTGCAGTCAACACACTGCAGCACTACTTCTTCTACTACTGAACGTTAAAAAGAAAATTGAATTGGATTTTTATTGACGAGTATATACAGCCTTTTTTCACTAGTTATTGTTGATGGTTAGGATGTATTTCATCTCTACACAGTTTATTTTGTAGTGTCGATGCCTGGCTATGTACTATCTGGTAGTAACATGAGTGTGTCCTCATTGCCCGTGTCGCCAGGATTGAGAACTACATATCTAACTAGGGCTTATAAGCAAGGACGTATTCATATTGTGTCTAGGAAGAGAATTCGACTAAATGCAAATAATATAAAAAAAGCGGGATTTATAGCGCTACATTATTACGAACTACAGGATCACATAATATTTCAGCCATATTCTGTTCTTTCTACCAGATCTGGTCAAACGAATGACTGGTTATCGAGTGATTAATGTACACAAACGTCCAATCCATCACACCTTAATCCATAGTTATTGTCCGATCCACGCCATCACAATGGCATTGTCCAAGTCCTCGGTGGAACTGTTGCATCGGCGTCAGATGATTCGAAGATGTCGATTGTCGATCAAAGCCCAAGGCTTACGCATGGACTTAGTAGGAAGCACCCGAAGGAGCGGCGGCGGGAGCACCCGAGGCAGCGGGAGCACCACCAGCAGCGCCAGAAGGAGAGGGGCCGTTATCACCAGCGACGCCGGAGGGAGCAGCACCGGAAGGAGAGGGGCCGTTGCCGCCAGCAATTCCAGAGGGAGCAGCACCGTTACCACCGAAAGAGCCGGAAGGGGAGGGACCGTTGCCACCAGCGACGCCAGAAGGAGCAGCACCGCCGAAAGAGCCGGAAGGAGAGGGGCCGTTACCGCCAGCAACGCCGGAGGGAGCAGCACCGTTGCCGCCGAAAGAGCTAGAGCCAGAGCCCTGCTCAGAGGGGGAGCCCTGCTCGGAAGAGCCCTGAGATCCCTCGGAGTCGAATCCCTGGGAGTCAGATCCCTGAGACTGGGTGCGCTCAGACTGGGAGCCCTGAGACTGAGAGTCCTGGGACTGGCCCTGGGACTGGGATTCCTGGCCGCCGAAGCCGCTCTGGCCCTGCTGGCCCTGCTGGCCCTGCTGACCCTGCTGACCCTGCTGACCCTGCTGGCCACCGAAGGAGCCAGAAGGAGAAGGACCGTTGCCTCCAGCAACACCGGAGGGAGCGGCACCACCGAAAGAGCCGGAAGGAGAGGGGCCGTTGCCGCCAGCAATACCAGAGGGAGCGACACCACCGAAGTCACCTCCAGCAGCAGCGGAGCCGGTCGGGACAGGGACGGTAGAGGCGGAAGCGGGGATTTCGAGCTGGCGTCTCTTGTGGCCGCGAGGAGCTCCGGAAGGAGCGGGGGCAGCGGAGCCAGTGGGAGGAGGTTGAGGAGCATCGCCCAAGCTCACGGTGGGAGCCTGGCCCTGTCCTCCGAAACCCTGGCCCTGTCCTCCAAAACCCTGGCCCTGTCCACCGAAGCCCTGGCCCTGGCCCTGAGGAGCACCCGAGGGAAGGGGAAGGGGAGAACCGGAGGGAGCGGCACCCTGGAAGGAGGGAGCTCCGCTGGCCTGAACACCATTGGGAGCAGAGTCTTGCTGGGCACCCATGGCCGGCAGGGCGGCAGCGTAACCGATAAGACCAGCAAAAGCGATTCCGGTGAACTTCATCTTGAAAGGATAGAGAGTGATGGACTTGTAGTAGTAAGTGAGAAAAAAAAAAGAAGGCGAAATGAAAGTACGAAGCACAGCTTCTTAAGGAATGGTAGTTGAGATCAAAGGAAAGAGAATTTGAGCTGAATGAAGGATGATTCTGGCTGGGAAAAGGGTCGCTTTTATACGGCAGTCTCGAAGCGCTGAGTCGGCCAAGACCTTGCGATGATCACCTACATCCAACTGCTGCGATGCGTGAGAGGAACCAAGCATTCGTCATGCACTGTTGTTACCGAGCTCGCCCCAGTTGAATCTGAGACGTCGACTGTCAGCAATAGATCAGGTTATGCTGGAGATGCAAGAACCGCATAGATCGCCAGACCTGGCGCTTGTGGGGGTGGGAGAGTGGCTCAGGGGCAGGGCTGATGTCAAATAGGGTTTGGACATACCTGCTGGGTTACTGTGGGTCGGTTAAGCATGAAGCCGGTAGTTGGATCCGCGAGAGGTGAGGATGTAGTAGACGATACTATTGATGGAGAGGAAGAAAGGGCAAGAGGGAAGTCACTCTGGCTGGCTGTCGCTGTGGCGGCGGCCCCACGTGCGCGGCTCGCCCTGAAGGCCGTCACGGGCCAGCCGACCCTCCAGCGTTTCATCTCTTCATCGCCTATTCAGAATGGTTGAATCGTCCTTCCTCTCGCCTCCTTGGCCCCTCTGCCGCTTGGAGGTGGCTTAATCCTGGCTGCGGCGATTGATCTATTTGCGGTTCCTTTGATTTCCATGGTAATGCTTTATTTGGTTGCCTTTCTCCGCATCATACACCACCATACACAGTACACACATACGGAAAGCCTCAAAAAGTGCCTCAGATCGTCGGTGGATGAATGCGACTGGTTGTTAGTCTCAGTCCAATAACAACCAACATGCAACGGAGCTGACGTCCTCGATCAAGATGTCCCCTGCCGCTGTGGCTGTTCCAAGTTAGTGGGTCAGTCCAGTCTCGGCTCTCGACACTGACAGTCGACAGGTCGTAGTGCCAACTAAGCGGAAAGCTAGTCCGCTCTGGTGTGTTCTTGGGGGCCCAACGATTGCGGGTCCTTGACTCTACACAGTACATTATTTGGGTGGGTCCATCTCGAAGAACATCAGTTGTGGTCAGTGTCTCTATGTGCAGCAAAATCATCTTCCGCTTACATATCATCGTGGAAGCTAGTTAGTTAACTATGGTCACAACGATGTGATAATCACTGTGGGGGATAGTCATACCTATACCCTCACTTCCTATCCATCAAGAAAAAAAGTCGTTGTTATGAGCTCTTACATAATACCCCTCTCTGGGAACTTTGTATTTGAACTCAGAACAGAGCTTTCCCCTTCGAAGTTGAGGGAGCCCACGATGTGGACCCATGGATTAGGGAAAGTAACAGCGATGGGACCCTGAGGGACCCTAGAGTCTCTAGAGAAGGGTGGAAGTCTTCTCTGGCATCTGTACATACCGGAAGTCTGTTAGGCTATCCCTGGTTCCCTGCATGGCAGGGTTGGAAGTGATGAAAATGGCCAAAATGACGACAAATGGGGTCTGGACCAGTCGTCACCCTCCCTAGCGAGCCACTATGAATGAAACGGACGGCTGTCTGGTTGTGGTATCTGTTCGTTTCAAGGCTTGGATTTGATAGCGCGTTGGAGCAGCTGGCGTGGCCCTATGCAGATCCCATGGGCTGCGTAAGCTGATTGGCCACCTGCCTGCACGGCCCATTTATCCGATCGGGATGTTTCACTTTATCTTCGCAACCCTCGCAGTCGCCTCCTCACTGGCGGTCCACCTACTCCTACGTCGCTACCGGTTTGCGCGCGATCGGCAGGCTTGACGAAATCAGATAACTGACTCTTGACTCTCAATATTGGGCCTTACCAGTATGGCTCCCACTGTTGCAGTGGACTGCTGCTCATTTGACCTCCGGGGCAAAGGATTGGGAGCGAGTCGGCGTCCCGCAGCGGCCTCGTGGACTTCCCATGATTGCGAGTCAAAGGGGCCAAAATGAGAAGGATGCGATACGATCGCAAAGGGTATAACCCAGGAATTCATATTATATTCATTAGGTTTAGAAACCAATCAACGCCCATAGTGTCTCTATTTCTGTCACCCTCGAGACCCTAGGTGCGGGCCCTTTTCCACCCTTCAACTGTTTGGTATCGGTTCCGACTTCTCCGGGCTTCTCCTTTTCCTGTCAATTGGTCCGTGCATCTGTCAATAGGAAGCGCCATCATCACCAAAAGGCTGGGGAATGGTGTCCCTTAGCAGCAACAATCAATCATACCAGACTCTATTACGGCTTGGTCTGCCAGATGACGCGGCCACCATAGTGCCCGCCCCTGGGGCTAAATCCCGTATGCAGCCCAACTTGACCATGACACACACCGACGGATATTTTTATTACCCATCAAAAACATCTAGGAGTCGCTCTGTATAGGCTCAGCGTGCGTATGTCACTGACATAATATACAAGAGGGTACGTTTCTCCTGTTTCGCCAAGCAGGCAAAGGAGAACAGAGGACTGGAACAATTCATGTATGTGATAAGCCCTGCATATGTATCGCAACATGCAGGTGTGCCGGGATTCGGTCCTCATAGGCCACTTCTACCGCTACGGGAATTTCATCATCAGGGCCGGGAATTGCTTTCCGTCGTCCATTCTACGAGGGTCGCTTGGCAAGAGGGTCCAGATTGTGCGCCAACCGAAAGCAATATGTCCCTGGAAGGAGCCAGGTCCATTGCAGACGCGTAAGTCTAATTGCTTGTAGTTTTGCAATTTTTGCCCTTCCGTTCCTGCATTCTGTGTGTTCGTACCTGAAAGCGTACCAAACAGCACGAAGTCGTCTATCTCCTGGTCCTTTCGACTCGCGTTACTGCATGGGCAATTGCTAGGGTGATATTCAATTGTGATGAAGTCAAGAGAATTTGTCTCTTCCTTCTCTTTCTTCGCCTTGCCTTGGAGCCGCATCATTTTCTCTAGGACTACTTCGTACTTGACACAGCTCCCATTTCCTCTACAGAGTCAGATTGTAGCACCATACAGATCCGTTGCATGAGCTTGAGGCATGCTATCTTCCTGGGAGCCCGACACTGGACTGCAACGAGGATTAATCTTTGATCATGGCTTATGCTGGAGAGCACAGACTATAGGGGAGGCATTCGATGGTAAGTGAGCAACCAACTGGCTCCAACCCACCATCACAACGACTGGCATGAAATTATCTATTTCCTGCAGCAGGCTGATCTGATATGTTGTAATCTCCAGATAAGTTCTGATGTCCCATATGCGTACCCTTGAAAATCGAATTAGATCTGCTCTGAGGTCCATAATAGCATGCCACACATGAGTGAGATTGCAAGAGACCACGGAGATATTTTGCGCTCCCACTTCCAGTTACAATACCGACTGGCAGTTATGTTGAACACGAAAATTGAACTGCCGACAACGGAAACTTTCTGTGTGTTTGGTAAACACATCAGCGGCTCGGAAAGGCTACCTGAATCATGGGTCTTACTGTGACGGTAGACCCAAGCCCCAGCTTGTCGACCGGTATCAATCTCGACTCCACCACTCTCAGGGTCAACACGTACGTTTCTATCGGGGAGATCCAGATGTGGTATTTGATTGATGGAAAACGATTCCTTTGAAATGAGGGAGGACCCCGATGCGAAGAATAGAGTCTAGACGTGGAACAACAGACCAACACCCAGGTCTAGATTGCGGAGAAGGCCATTCTTCCTTGTTATTAGCAGCATCCATTCCTCGAACCAGCAATAACCAGGATATAAGATGGCAGTGGTGAGTGTAGGGATGACATCAGAGATGGTGTGGCTGTTGAAGCGGGAAGTCACTATGGCAGGCAGTCACACCATTGGCGGGCTCAGTTTCCCACCACTCTCTTTCTAAGTCGGGTTGCTTTTCGCTGCCAGGTCTTCAAAAGTCTCACACTGATAGCCGAGAGCTTCAAGGGAAGTTTATTAATTTCTTTTCACCATCCCCTAGCCACTCACTCGGTGTGAGTCTGGATACATGGGGTTCACGGTATCAGTGCATCATCAGTGTGAAAACGTGATGTTACCCTCTAAGCAGTCTAGATTACCCCAGAAAGGGTTCCGGGAAATCCCACCAGCCCCTGAAGAGCTTATCGGAAGCACTCGTGCTGTAGTCTGCTGCTTAATATAGACAACGGGCAATTATCACAGGCAATATTTCACGGTGTCATTTTGAGGTATTGGACTCACAAGGCAACAAGAGCAGACAGAGAAAAAGTGTGAACATGAAAACGGAAAGATGCCACTAACGCAGACTAAGAGGTTACTCTGGCCATCGTCAGACATCAGAGCCACAAACACCAGTGGTTCACACTGGGCCATGATACTGTATTGCCAGAGCGCGTGTAGAGAACGCGTAGGGGAGCGCGCATTCACTATATCAACCCCCATGTATCTCGCTTAGCATGTCCACTGGCTCGCTAAGTATTCGAACCAACTCGCGTCTGTTGCCATCATCTCCTTTCCATCACCATCATCAACACTTCTTCTACAAGCTTCTCTCTCAGAGTATTTCATTTACAAGGATACGCTGAGTTCGACCATCTGTTCATCGAATTGCGCTTCCGTATCAACAGTGCTAGTAACAACGCTTCAGGTGCTACAAGAGACTCATCTAGTCAAGATGGCAGACACTCCAACGAACCTATCACCTGACAACAGCAGTCTCATAGCCCATGCTGAGGACATGCTGTCCGCACTGCTGAAGGTCGAGCAAGCAGTCGATGAAGCTGGCGCAGGTAAAAATAAACATCAAGATTTCACGAGATATGTATTGGGTGCAACCTCAAAGCTGGGATACATTATCATGGCCGACAAGATCGTCAGTGTCAACGGTCACCGGCTGGATATGGCCGAAGTGGTGGCCGTTGCTAAGTACGTTGTTAGCTTTGATGGAATTCCCGGGATGCACTCAGCTAACTTGTTATCGTACCTCAGACATGGGGTGACGCCTGTCGTTTGCGATAATGGCACCGTTCGCCCCAAGATGCAGTCCAGTGTGGAATTCCTCCAGAAGCATCTCAAGGAGGGTAATACCGTCTATGGCGTCAACACTGGCTTCGGAGGAAGTGCCGATACGCGTTCCGACAACTATCGTGCTCTGCAAAAGGCACTGGTTCAGCACCACAATGCCGGTGTGCTTCTCCCTGCTGAGCAGGGGCTCGAAAGCACCCCCATCCAAGATTGCATGAAGAAACACTCGATGCCCGCTCCATATGTCAAGGCAGCCATGCTGGTCCGATGCAACAGTCTAATCAATGGGCATTCGGCAGTTCGACCAGTGGCCGTTCGTCACATTCTCAAGTTGGTCGCTGCTGACTTCACGCCTGTTGTTCCGTTGCGCGGTTCCATTTCAGCTTCCGGTGACCTAACCCCTCTCGCGTACATCGCTGGGGCAATTGAAGGAAATCCCGACATCTTTGTGGACCTTGGACCGAAGCACAAAAATGTGATCCTCCCTTCAGACGAAGCCCTCGCAAAGCTTAGCCTGAAGCCGATTTCTTTCTTTCCTAAAGAAGGTCTCGGACTGCTCAATGGAACTGCTTTCAGCGCTGGAGCTGCTAGTCTTGTTCTCTCCGAAGCCAACCAACTGGCCTTATTCGCTCAAGTCGCAACCGCCATGTGCACAGAGGCGTTGATCGGGAGCCGTCGTAACTTCCATCCGTTCATCAGCAACACTCGCCCACACCCTGGACAGAAAGAAGTGGCACGCAATCTGTACGGCCTCCTCAAGGACTCCAAACTAGCCACTGATTCGAACCCCGAAGAAGTTGGTCTTGCCCAGGATCGCTACGCAATCCGCACCATTCCGCAATGGATAGGTCCACAGATCGAATCCTTGATCCTCGCAGCACGCCAAGTGGAATGCGAATTGAACTCGACCACAGACAATCCTTTGATAGATACTGCTAATGGCGAGGTGCATCACGGAGGCAACTATCAGGCAGTTTCAATCACGTCTGCAATGGAGAAAGTCATGACCTGTATGCAAATGCTCGGGAAGATGATCTTCGCTCAATGCTCCGAAGTGCTTAACCCAATGTTCAGCAAGGGCCTGCCTCCCAACCTCTGTTCCGACGATCCCAACTTGTCTTTTGCGTTCAAGGGTATCGATATCAACATGGCATCGTACATGAGCGAACTGGGATACCTGGCTCACCCCGTCAGCAACTTCGTCCAATCCGCAGAAATGCACAACCAATCTCTCAACTCACTGGCTCTCCTCACGGCCCGCTACGCAGGTGACACCGTCGAGATTCTCTCGCTCATGATGGCAACACACATCTATGTGCTGTGCCAGGCTCTCGACCTACGCACACTCCAGCTCGAGTTTGAAAAATCCGCAAAGCCTTCCGTGGACGAAACAACAACAGCCATGTGCAAAGACATGGTCCCTGAAGAGCGCATCCCGCACATCAGAGACGAGATCTGGAAGGTCCTAATGCAACACTGGGGAAAGAATTCCAATCTCGGACTCGCCAGTCGCGCAGCAACCTCGACAACCCTGACACTCGGCACCGTCCTGGATCTGATCACGGTTGAGTGTGACGAAAGCAAGACTGCAGATATTCCAGGCAAGATGCTGCTTTGGCAGGAAGATGTCAAGTCTAAGCTGTGCGAAAAATATGAGATGACGCGTGAAAAATACTTCCTCGACCCATCGACGGCCGACTATCTCTGCACCTCGTCCATCAAACTGTACAATTATGTACGCAAGACTCTCGAGGTCCCAATGCACAAGGGAGTCGTCGATCATCCAACTTTCTCACCTCCTCATGCTATTCCTAGCGAGAAACAGACGATTGGTACGCTCATCAGCACGATCTATGTTGATCTTCGCGAAGGGGACCTCATGCACACCCTAAAGGGCTGCTTTGAGGTCCCCGGGAATGACTTTCTGGGAAAGAACGATGAAGAGTGAGGATGATAAGCAAGGTTGTGATATGATGGGTAAGTTGAAGGGGAATATGAATCATTGAAAGATCAGTGTGTTTTTCCCCTCGCTAAAATAAAAACACAGAGTGCAGAAAATTCTCCATTCACTTATTTACTGTGTCGCATTTTTTGCCGAGTGCATAGGTGGCATCGGGTAGCGGATATCCGGCCGGCGTTGTCATTCCCAGTTTATGTTTCTTCCATTGCATCTTCCTGGAGTGA